TTTGTATGGCTTCGCTGTTAGGTAGTGGCATATTTTGATTTACCAAAGGCCTCAAAGGAGGCTCATACCATGACTGAGGTACAGGTGATGGTCTTTCATAATTTTGATTACTAGTTTAACCATTAGTATGTCCATTAATTTGCATAGACTGTTTATCTCTACCCAATCTTTGCTAAGAACATTTGAATTTTCTTCCATATGCCTTGTGACAGTTGGTTGATGGGAATTCATTCGATCCATAAAGGATGTTGCTCATCTTTCCATTTTATACATCAACTGTTGTCCCATGGCATCTACCAAGCCTTCCCAAGGATTCATTGGCAGGGTAGACGAAACAGTGGATAGTCCAATTCCATGGCCTCGTTCAATATCCTGAACATGTGATGCATGTTCCGAGGTGCTGGTCTGTTCGGCCATAGGTTCTGATGAGATATATGCTTCCATAAGATGTATTATTACATTATCCTCTGGACTAGGTACTTCTACCTCTTCTTCCACACCTTCTTCCGGGAGTTCATTTTCTCCTTGTCTCCTACGTCTAGCCATTTTAGAGTCCCACTGGGCGTGCCAAAAATATGTGTTGGCTTTTTTGGCTTTCGAAAGTTAATTATGTAAATTTAAGCGTGCCAGTAAGGATCAATTAGTCCTTACAGAATTTATAATTGTCAACCAATTATCAAGCGATTGTGTTGAATTTCTTTCAGCCTCAATGAAGAGGACTTTTGCTAGTGGCTTTTTAGAAGAAAATTGTGAATAGTAACAAGTAAATATAATTCAGAAATCGAATTTCATTAAACAAATGAAAACTTACAATGACCCAGCCTCGACGAGGTTCACAGCAACAAACTATTGAAAAACTACTCCTAGGAAATGAAGTGCAGTACAGGAAATGAAGTGCTGGAAGTGTAAAACTGTAAAGAAAATGAAGTAAATAAAATGGTTTCTGGATCTGAGTCTGGGTCCTTCATTCTGGGGCCTTCCTTACTATTTATACTTCCCAGTGGTAACCATCGAAGTGGGCTTCCAACCGTCAAAGCGTCCTCTCATGATTGCTGAACATACTCTCTCACAATCTGTCCCACTACACCACTCTTGCAGTTAGACTTCCCTCCTGATTTTGGATTTAAATTTATGAGTAACCGTTACGCCACGTCATCTTATGTCTCTCGATTGTTCCAGAGCCACGCAGATCCATTATTACCAATATGAACTGTCACGTGTCCGCCTTTGATTGGCAACTTATATTAACTCTCCAAATTGCTCTTCTCGTGCCACGTGTTAAGTTGTGATTGGCTTGTGCAAAATATGTAGCCAACAGATATTTACTGAAAAATTACTAATATTTTCTTTAAAAAAATTATTCACTTTTTAGAAATAAAAATGATAAAATGAAATGGTTACTACAATCAATTAATTTTTTAGAGATAAAAATTTGGAGACAAAAGCGCTTTTTAGTGACTAAATATTTTTGTTTTCAATAGTGTCATTATTAGCAACAAAATCTTTTGGGGATTAAAATTTTTGTCTCAAAAAATAAATCATTTTAAAACTAAATTATTTTATCCCATTTATTTATTAGCGATGTTTTCAAAATTTGGTAAGTAAAAACTTTATTTTTTACATTTCATAACGATCTTTCAGAGATAATTTTTGCAATGACAAGAATTGATCCCTAAATATTTTTTGTAACAAAAAAATTTAGTTTTTAAATCTCTTATTTATTGTAGTGGGCGGTTATCTTTATTAGATAGACCTTTTCATTTATACATGATATATAAAGAGAACATTATAAAATAAACTTTTCAAATTATTAAAACATAATCCATTATGGACTCACAGTCACAGGCCCAAACATAATGGTCACTGTTATTATATTCATCTAGATATGAGAAAAATAAAAATAAAAATAAAAAAAACAAAACCAAAAAAAATCTATTCGGATTAGTCGGCAAGAGAATGTTAAATTCCTATAAAAAAAAAATATATCAATTGTGATGCTTTGACTGTTCAACTGCCCAAATAATTAAGTTTAAACTGTTACTATCATCCACTTCTTATAAAAAACAAATATGTGGCGGCTGAGCATTAAAAAACAAATCTTTTGTCATCTTCATTGCCAAAAAAAAACAAACCATACAATTGAGACAGAGATATGGAAGCAAAGCTAGCAAGACTGGGAAGCTCACTCCTTGTACCCAGTGTTCAAGAACTGGCCAAAGAATCACTCACCACGGTCCCACCGCGGTATGTTCACCATGGTCATCAGAACCATCCAATCTCGTCGTATGGTGCTCGTTGTCCCGATGATGTTCCGATCATCGACATGGACAAGTTGATTTCTGGAGATCACATGGATTTAGAATTGAAGAAGCTTAACTATGCATCCAAAGAGTGGGGTTTCTTCCAGGTATTTACATATATTTTCATTTTATTTTCAAATTCATGATGTTATGTTATGTAAATAAAAATTAAGAAATCAATTCTTATCCAAAAATAAAAATAAAAATAAAAAATCATTATTTGTGAACATCAACTTAACTAGGCAGAAAACAAATTTTTCCATATGGTAAATAATTGATTTTAACTGATTTCTACCCCAAAAAACCCATGTTTTAGTCTCTTAATTAAGCAGAAATATTATCACATGTGGATATAAAAAGGCTATAAACGTGTTTGGTATTGTTTATATTTATAATTTCTATTCATATTCATATAATTTTTAAAAGTTGCAAATAAGAATTCGGTTGGTTTCTATTTTTGTTCTCAAAAAGTTGTGCACACAAAAAAATTAGTTTCACTTTTTTGTTTAAATTTTTTTTTTTTATATATATATCTTCTTCTTTCCCCCACCCTTTTCCACCACCAACCATTACTCATCACTACCAAGCACCATCGGAAATAACCTCCTCCGCCAACCACCTCCAACCACCACTTCTCTCAACCGCCTACCATTGCCACAAACCACCTCCCAACATTGGCAACCACCTCCAACCACTTTTTGTAGAAAACTACCTACAACTACCACCTTAGGTGGCTAACCAGCTTCCATCTCTGACCACCGATAATCATTTTCGGCCACCATTTCCTATGGCCATCAATCACCTCCAACCATACCAACCACCTCTCACCTGTGGTAACCACCTTCGGCTGCTACCTCCTGACAACCATCTCCGGTCACCCTCTCTAACCGTCGACAATTATTTCTCGCAAACCACTCATTTTCAATTGTTTTTTAAATAAAATTTTAAAATACTTGTGTACCAAATATGTTTTTTATTTTTACCCAAAATAAATATAAATGTGTTTAATATTTTTTATAAATTAAAAACAATTAACTATAAACGTTGCTAAAAAGACTCCTACAAAAATCATGTGCCCAATTAATAGTGTATGTTTTGCTCATCATTCTCTCTATAATTTTTTGGGTCCTATAAACACATAACCTTTTATTATTATACAGGAACACAACCAACTGGTTAATTAATTATCAAAGAAAATATTCAAATCTCTTACAATCCATTTGGATTGAGTGATTTGGAGAGGCGGGAAAAATGAATCACGTGGTAGTTTGAATTACTAAACATGACAGAAATGAGGAGAAATTCAATGAAATAAAGAGAGATTAATTTTTCTTATAATCACTTTTTTAATCACTCCAAAATTGAAGAGATTTGGTGAGAAAAGAATTGGGATGATTCCTAATTTTATGTAATATCAAAATTGTCTATCTAACTGCTATAAAAATAAAAACAAAAAAGTTATTTTGGTAAGATAACCTATAAGAATTTCTTTTATTTTCTTTCATGTAGTCTATCTCAATAAGATTTGAGAAATCTATTGTTTTCTTTTATCTCCAACGTAACCAAACAAGAGGAAGAAAAAAATCCTAATCTTTTCTTTTCTAACAAATCTTTTCTTTCCTTTCTTCAACAAAACTACCAACTTTATTTGTTTTCATGTTATTATCTACCGTCTCGTGGGATTTCTTTATTGATTTTACTCATTTTTCTTCTATCAATTAAAACATCTCAATAAGAAAAAAGAATAATTTTAAAAAGTCGACAGAAACCAAAATTATTAGTAACAAAATATTCGTGCAAGTAAAGTTGGGAAAGAGCTTATTGTTTTGTATTAGCTAAGGGAAATATCAATCTAGTGAGTTTTTGAAAAAAATTATAAATAAGTAATAAACTTTTTATATATTAATAATTAAAATTATAAATTTTTTCACTTTCATGTAATAATTTTTTAATCATACAGCTGATAAGTAATTTAAAAAAAGCTTAATCATAGAGGGGTAACCTCCGAGAATAGATCCTATAAAAAATTAAGACGCCAAAGGTCACCTTTATATGGTTGTTACATAACATGGCCACTCAAATATATAACAATAAGTCACGAGATTCCACACAGACGGGAATTCAAACTCACAATCCTGACACTGATTATTGTTCGTCCAGACTTGAAAAATTCGTCTTACCAATTATATATGTTGTCGCTCAAATAACTGACCCCAAAAAGAGTGAAATCTGATAACTCAGGGCATATATTCCACAAGCTAAACACTCAAAAGATTTTCTTTCTTTTTTTTATAGAACAAGTGGAAGAATTATTGGCATTTAGGTCCTACAATCATGTTGTGTATCTTTTTTATTTTATAGTATTTTTTTAGTCTGCACGTTGAATTTTAATGTCTTTAAACGAAAGAAAGATCTAATGATAGCTACAATATATTTATTTGGCAATTTAGGACACAAAAATAATAATAAAAGTTTATTAAGAGATTATTTAAGATGACCTAAATAAGTACACTTTTTGAGTTGCCAAACTTGGCCTAAATTAGCACCAAAATAAGTTTTATATTGTTTTCAATTTGAGCAGACTATGTTGAAATCTTGCTAACAATGTGCGGTAACACACCTTTTTTATTTGGTATTAAGCTGGCAAAAATAGAAAAGAAAATACACTCTCTCCTATCTTGTCTGGGTTACTCTTATGCAATATTTTTATGATTTATGATAAATGTTAATAATTTTTTCTCTTTTCTCCAAATCACTCCATCCAATCCCAAATCACTCCATCCAATCCGACTGTAATTTGTACGAGGCACCAAAATTAACATAGCAAGCAAGTGATTCCAATCTCAATGCACACTTACAAAACTTTCAAATTCTTTTCAATAGATTTGAATATCCGAATCAATTATATTGCAGCAAATGCCAAATCTGTATCATTGAGCGTGTGTGTATTTTAGATTTGTTCAGGAAAAAAATCCAAACATATCATTTAAAAAAAAAAAAAAACTGAAACAATAGGAATGTGGTGCAGTTGATAAATCATGGAGTGAGCTCTTCATTAGCGGAGAAGGTGAAGATGGAGACTCGGGAATTCTTCAACCTCCCAATGGAAGAGAAGAAGAAATTTTGGCAGGACCCTGGTGATGTCGAAGGATTTGGGCAGGCCTTTGTTGTATCAGAGGAGCAAAAGCTTGATTGGGGTGACCTCTTCTTCCTCACCACCCTTCCAACCCATTTGAGAAAACCCAATTTATTTCCAATGCTCCCTCTCCCCTTCAGGTACTCTCTCTCTCTCTCTCTCTCTCTCTCTCTCTCATATATATATGCATGTACTCTATATATTGTCGGAGGGTATTCTTACCCTAAAATTGTGCAGAGCATTACTAAAATCATGTCCCAACTAGTTTGCCACGTATGAGCCACGTTCGACTTGCAAGCAAGGGGGTGAGATATAACTCTTTTCTTTTGACATAAATTATCTAACGTCCAGTTCAGATTTTGTGATCCTAACTAACTTATCCTAAGGTTCCTTTATCAAGACTTTTTGTTCAGTAGAAGTGGGACAACTTATTCCGAAATAGAACTTTCATTATAAAATGACTAAATAACCCTTCCTATCCTGCTTAATCCCGTCCATTGTTGTGCTGCATTTCTCTCCTTCAAACAGACTTCAACAAAGGCAAAAACCTGAGAAAATGTCTAGTAAACCAAAATCACAGCCAACAATTTCATACAGTAATTTGAATCACAGTTCTCATTCCCATATCTAGAGCTATCAAACATGCCTTGTCTAGTGTGCTGCATTTGCAAACTACACTAAACTAAATCAAAAGATAAAAAATCTCAACCCAATAAGCGAGGCAAGAACTAGAACCACAGTTTTCATGGCCACAGTTACAGTTGATCGATCCAAGAACTCAGTCAAATCAGCTTGGGTTTGCTAAGTCTTTTCATGCAGACACACTCTGGAAGTTTACACCGCTGACTTAAAGCATCTTGCCATGAAGATTCTTGACTACATGGCTAAAGCTTTGAAAATGAAGGCAGAGGATATGAGGGAGTTGTTTGAAGAAGGGATGCAGGCAGTGAGGATGAACTACTATCCTCCATGTCCACAACCAGAGCTGGTCGCTGGCCTCACCCCACACTCCGATGCCGTTGGCCTCACTATCCTCCTCCAGCTCAATGACGTGGAAGGTCTGCAGATTAAGAAAGACGGGATGTGGGTTCCTGTTAAACCCCTCTCTGATGCCTTCGTGGTCAACATTGGAGACATTCTAGAGGTAATAAACCACACATTAAAGTTTTGTGTTGTTATAAATGGACTTCAATGAGTAAACTGGTAGAATGGTTATCATTTTACGTTTGTTTCGATGAAAAAACATTTCCTCAAGAAAAATAATTTTTTTTTAAATGTTTTCTGTAAAAAAACATTTTTCAATGTTCGGTTTTAACTTTGAAACTAATGTGCATAGTTGGATTAGCAGTGGTGATGGTGGTAAAGGCGGCGGAGGTTGTGGTAGTCAATGTGGTGGTGGTGGTGAAGGTCGTGCAGTGGACAAGCTGTTGGTGGCAGAGGCAAAGGGGTGGCGGCAAAGGTTGCAATGATGGTGGGATGGCAGTAGTGTGGTGGTACTAATAATATTTCAGTCCTGAAAATGTTTTCTACCTTTCAAAAATGAAAAACATTTTTTACCCAAATAAGTTTGTTTTGCTATTGACCAAAGAATTTTTTTTGTTGTTGCCTGTCGTTTTCCATCAATACCAAATCACTAAAACAAATAAAGCGTATGTTGAAATCAAAAGGACACCCACAGGGTAGTCGAGCATCAAGTCGTAACACACAGCATTACCTAAAAAAAAAACTGTGAAAGTTGAATTTGTAAAATAGGACCTAAAATTTCATGATCTAGTTTATCCTGCTATGAGATCTCTTACCTTGTTTTGCAGATTGTTACCAATGGAACTTATCGTAGCATCGAGCATCGAGCAGTGGTGAACTCTAGCAAGGAGAGACTGTCAATTGCCACATTTTACAACCCAAGACTTGACGGAGAAATGGGTCCTGCACCTAGTTTGATTACCCCACAAACACCAGCACGGTTCAAAAGAATTAGGGTTCAAGATTATTTCACAGGCTTATTTGCTCGAGAGCTTCATGGGAAATCATACCTAGATGTCATGAGGATTGAAAATGAGGAAAGCCAGAACAGTACTTGAAAATTCTGTAACAGTAATGTACTAAAACCTGTTTCATCTTTTGCTATTAAGTTGTAAGGAATATTGAAGACGCTTCAAAACCAGCCTATCGCACAAACCTTAATATGAAATTCCTCAACAAAACTAGAGTTTTTTTTTTTTTTGGATAAATTCCTCAACAGAACTAGAGTTATAAATAATATTTCATTATACAGACAATAGATGCTAAATGGCGATTGCTAAGGGATTTCTAGATGTTGTACTCGGGTTGCGCTTCACCCTTTAACCAGAGGCAATAAGCCTTTGGCATAATTTTCACAAAATGGTTGCCCCCCAAGTTGGAACCTACAACCTCAAGGCAAGTAGGGCGAACTTTAACCACCCTTGATAGAAAATTCATAGATAATGATACTATCAAAATTAAAATGTACTAATAGAGGAAAGAGAGAAATAGATTAATGATACAAAAATCAAAAAGAACCATAGAAGTAGCAATGCTAGAGTTTCGAAATCCAAAAGAATATCAAACTAGCTAAATCCTTTACAGGAAATATTAATTCGATACATACATGAATATGCTACACGGACCAATGGCTTCATTCCCAATTCCAAATCTTAGGTGTATTAATTCATTACTTCTGAGAATACCTCCAAGTAATATAAGATTTGTTCACTTGAAATGTAGGAACAAAGCAAAACCCCAGCATCAAGTTTCAGCTGTGTCTGTGAACCTAGCATTCAAGCCAAAAAAAAAAAAACCCCAATTACAAGACAGCTAAAATAATCAATCTGAAATAAGATACAGAACCGAGAATTATTCTTTAATAAAACCCCTATTCCCAAACCAAAAACAAAACCCTAAACATGGAAGAACCCAAAAACCAAATCAATAAATTGCATTGGCACCACCCATTATTGTAAGAAATGCCACATTAATCCCTTTCAGTCTGGTCATGAAGCATGAAAGCATAAACCCTAAAACCCATCAAACAAAGTAAGCTAACAAAAAATTTTGTAATTTGAACCACACAAACATTGATCAATCGACACAATCAAATTACCAAAAACAAGAACAAAGAAAGATAAAAGGAATCTCAGTGAAAGAATCTAAGGCAGATAAATTGGGAGATCCAAAATCAAATCGAGACGTATCAGCAACAAACAAAACACTAGGAAAACCCAAAATTGCATCCCAAAACACAGGATTAGAGACAGAGAGAGAGAAACACTGATATACCTTTTCTGAAGTAGACAACGCCATGGACCGTATCGGCCAGAGATCGAGTGACAGAACACATTTCAGCCCTAAAAAAAAGAGAAGAGTAGAGAGAGAAAAGTTGGAAGCTTTAGGATTCGAAATGCCTGTCTCTCTCTCTCTCGTCGAACCTTTTGAGGTTGCTAGAGGAGGCTTCGTTGGATGGGAAGGGAAAGGAGAGAAAAAGCACGACTCCCCAGGCATACATCTGTGCGTCAGAGAGGGGTTTGAAATTAAACAGCCCCCGCCCTCAGGATTCATGGCTTGTTTGGTTTATTTTTCACAAAAATTTTTGAAAAAAAATTTTTACAAATAAATTTTTAAGTGTAATCAAATTAAATAAATTTTTTTTAAAAAAAATTTAAAATTTTATTTACTTACTTACTTTTCAAAATCACTCTCTCTCATATACATCAAATCAATCACTTTTTTTAAAAAAAATTTCTAAAATAATTTTTTAAAATTATTTCTAAAAAAAGACAAATCAAATAAGTTTTTGTACTTTTTATCTCAAAATTTACTCTACAAACATAAACCAAACACACTCCATATCTCTATGAATGGTATTGAAGTTATTGGCTAGTTTATATCACATTATTATCTGTTAATATATTAGATAGTACATTAATTATAAATCTAGCATTATTCTATCTTGGGCACTAGTCTTTTAATAAAGTTGGGAACAGTAGAGGAGATAGGATTCATAAATTTATATTAGATAATTAGGAAATATAAAAAAAAAATATGATAAATTATGATTAGTGAGAGATATGACCACGTGACACTCCTGCAACAACTAATAATTTTTTTTTATGTGGAGTATGTTTAAAAAAAAGTACATAAATTACCATGAAAATTTTACTATACACATCTCTTAAAAGAGGTGTATCATATCCACTCTTAGTTATATTATTTTATTCTTTAATTATGACTAATTTTTTTGTAATTATGATATTATTTTAGTTATCACTCATAAAATATTTAATTATGTCTCATGTTGTATTTTGTTATAACTTTTGTTTTTAATTATGACTGAAAAAATTTAGTTATAAGATGCTTAAGGGTTATGTACCATAGCGATTCTCAAATTACAAATGCATTCTGAAGTTTGTTTAAATTACGGATAATTTATTATAGTTTAGAAAATTATAAATATCTTTATGTTAGAATTTTTATTTAACAAGATTAATTAGAAAGTTAAAATTCCTAACATTACTTAAATTACCTAAACTATTAATTGAAATAAATTTTTGTCAGCATTAAAAATTGTTAATTTACTTGATAATTTATTAATAAAAATCGTCATTTGTTATAAAATTAAAAATTTCAATAGTGAAATATAATTTATAAAATCACAGGGGGTAAATCATATTTTAAACAAATCTCAAAAGTAATATTTTTAATTTATTCCAAAAGTATTATCAAATTATTCTCTATTTTTTTGAATTTTTTATAAAAAAATAAAAAATTATTAAAAAAGTTAATTTCCCAATATCTCCTAATTATTCGGCATGTATATATGTATATCTCTCTTATTTTAGTCTTATAACAAAATAAATTTTTAATTTTTAATTTTATCAATTAAAATTTTAATTTTTTAATTTATTTTCAATATAAATCATTCTTTAATTTTTTAATTTATTTTCAATATAAATCAATCATTCACATATATTGGTTAAGTAAAACTAATGGAAAATGAATATTTTAATTATTAAACTCATAGAAAGTATACATAAGATGTCTAAAATACTGATTTAATTAAATTTAATGACTAAAATATCTATTTTTATTGAGATTTTTATTGATAAATCCCATTTAGAAGTGTTCTAACACAAGAAGTCCATAAAAAATAAAAAAAAAAAATTAACCCACTTAGTCCCACGTATTTATACTTTTATTCCATAATTTTTTTTTCTTAATTTACACTATTTTCTTAGACTCTTATGCTCTTATATTTAATATTGATATCTAATGTTGGAGGAGGAGAGAAAAGGGAAAGGACCTGTAGACACCCCATTTTGACCAGTCCTAAGACTTGGACACTTTCTTTTGACCACCCACTGATAAAAATTAGAATATGTCATTTTATGAATTTCTCAGTCGAAAAATCAAATTGAAGCTTTAATCCCAAACCTAACCTATTTTGGTCAAATTATTTTATATTACTAATATTTTATCAATTTGTAGTATTTTATAATTTTTATTTAATTTTATGTGTGTGTACACATTTTTATGTGTTTTTTTATATAAAATAATAAAAAAAAACAAAAAAAATTAAAAAGAAAATAAAGAAAAGAAAAAGAAAGGGTCAGATGAGGATAATGGGTTTTGGGATGGAAAAGAATTTTGTTTTTGCTGGATTCAAAGGAGAATAGAGTGGACATTGTGATGATAAGTTTTGGGTGAAAAATAATTCGTGAAGTGGGTTTGAAAAATGGTGGAGGAAATTGAAAAAAAGAGGAGGGCAAGTGAGAGTGGGTGGTGAGGAGACACCTAACAAACACACTCTCTCTCCCTCTTCAGAATAATTGAGGTTTGTGGGCACTAGGCGTGTGGACTTTTTATGATTGTTGGCATGGTGGGTGACAAACAATTAAAAAATCTCTCTCTTTATATTTTCCAACTTGTTTGAAGCAAAAGGGGGGAGGGGAGGACAACACATGCAATAAGGCTCTCAGTCTCATCTCTCTCTAGCTGGGTCTCTCTCTCCACACATACACACTGCACACGCACTCACGGCAGCAGCACACTACACACATGCACAACATACACTCACCACACCACCACTGCCATCCCAACACACATGCACAACATCACTCAACACACCCATTCACCACTGAACACACACACACACACACACGGGTAGAGAGGCCACACACTCATCACCCACACACACTGAACACACACACACACGGGTTTAGAGAGAGAGGCCACACACTCATCACCCACACATAGCCGATACACCAGGCACACGCATGCACACGGTTCACACAGACCACAGACGAGCTCACACACACAAGAGATGCATGATCTCTCTCGGCACCGGTTCTCTCTCTCTCTGGCATGAACTGGTTCGGAGATGAAGAGATCACACAGATACACACATGCACCTGCTCTCGGGCTCTCTCTCTCTCTCCATGCAAAACCAACTTCTATCTCTCTCTCCGGGTTTCAGGCTGCAAGACCGAACAGACCACCAATCTCTTCCTCTCTCTGGCTCTATCTATCTCTAACACACACACACACGGAAAGGAAGGGCTCTCATCTTCTCCCTCTCGGCACCTCTCTCTCTTTCTCATGCACACGTAGTCGGTTTTCTTACCCAGGAAACTTTGTGATGGTGTTAGACATACATACTTGAATCAAGTTGATATAATTGTTGCTTCTTAGTGTTGCTGCAGGTGTTGGTTTTGCCCAGTTTCTAGTGATACCATGTGCATTATTGTTCCGAAGTGCGGCTGTTGCTTCGGTAACAAGAAGCCCCTGTTTTACTTTTGTTTCGCTGGAGAAAAATAAAATCATGGTTATTGGGCCGTAAAGTTGTGGGATTTTGGTGCTGCAGAATAATAACTCATGTGGATGTCATTCACGTTAGGTTGGTGCATTTTTGATTGGCCGGTGGGCCGGCTTGACAGTGGGCCGGTTTTGTTTGAGTGTTGATGGGGCCTCCATTGAAGATGAATACATGGGCCGAGGCATAAGAACCGATGGTTATTTGCAAGTAGATGAATGGCCGGGGATTTCAAACTTTTATTTTTTTATTTTTGATTTTGTGTGTTTTGTGAGGTTTTATTTTGTTTTATTATTTCTTCCTCCTCTTTTATTTGGATCTGTAATATTTAAAGTGTTGTAATAATCTCCTCAACCTGTTTCTTTCTATCCCATTCTTTAATCGCTTTCCCTAACTGTACATATGTATATATCTGACATGTCATGCATATCCCTGCTTTACATCCATGTTCCATGCATTAAGATTTGGCTAAATTTGCATCCTTATGCTTTAATTGATTATCCTATGGTTTTATGCGCTATCAAATGTTTTGCAATGTTTCAAATATCATATTTTAGAAGCCGAATCTTTAGTGCATCTCATGAGTGAATTGCATTAGGATTTTGTATATAAGATCATGCATATTTTTACTAACTTTGTTTTGTAGTTGTTCGAGGGACGTCGGTCAATCTGTGAGTTTTTATGCTTTAGCATCCCATGTGTGCGTGTTTTTCTTACTATGTCTAGCATTCTACCATGAGGCTAGTTGCTTATGTGATATAACTCTATGAATGCCAGTGGATGGAGGTTGTGTCGCTTAATTTGGAATAATGTTGATTTTCATGT